AGGCAGGGGGTTGGGCTTGATGATCTGCTGAGGTCCCTTTCAACCCTAGCATCTATGAATTGATGAGTCTATGAGGGAGGCAGGGTAGTGCTCAGGGGGTAGAGGAGCTGATTACAGGGTGGAAGGGGGATCCAGGGGTTGATGCAGGGAATGGGGTAATATGGGGACCAGAGGAAGAGATCCAAGGAGCCTGGGGCTTCTCATGTCCTCCCTGGCCTACACTGTGCCTAGAGAGCTGGCTCTACTGGCCAGCCCTGTAGCAGTAGGTCTGAGCAATGCACATTAGAGAAGTTATTAACCCTGAGGATGACTGTCACTAGCGCTAGTAAACCTGAGCACAGACTAATGTTCTTTAGAATTAGCACTTTCTAACTCTAATGTGCAATCTTATCCATAATTTCCCCCTTAAGTTGATTTGGTTATCTGCCTCTTCTATGCACCCTCCCAGTGGCCGCTCGTTTTCCAACCCATCAATTTGATGCCCTTTGTTCTCACCATTAGGGGCCTTAACAACTGCATCCCTCTTTGCTTGCCCACTTTTTTTCTTCTGTCATGACTCACTGTCTCCTCTTTCTACCAATGATACTAGCTGCAGAGCTGGATTTAAGTGATTCTTCCAGAGGTGTCTTCACTCATTCCTATCTTATACCTAGAATGTATTAACTCAGCCTACCTTATACCTAGAACAACTTCCCCAAACCAGTACAGAAGGATACTGTCCTCCCCTCTCTAAAATCCTTCTACAGAGACCATAACTCTTAGAGAAATTAATCAACTGAAAATAGCTAGATAGGCAGCTCACTGGAGATAACTGACATTTATTCTAATAAGCAAGCAAAGAACATGTCAGTAGAGCAGTAGTATGCTTTCATCTCTCTTTTTCCCCCTTCTGCCTTTCCTTGTTGCCTTTGGCACTTAGCCTGTCTCACAGATAATTGCAAAAAAGAGTAGTATAAAACATATTTTTAAAAGAGGGGAGACTCTTTAAATACCTATTTCCCTAAATTAGGAATGCCTGCAGCCTCCAGCGTTGTGGAACCTAAAAGCCAGCTCTACCTAACACCTCTAGCCAGCCCATGGACTCTCTTTCTTTAGCCTCTTCTTTTTGGCCTCTTGAGTCCAAGATACTGGGGGCCACACTACTACCTTATCTAAGTGTATGAGTGCTCCAAGTAATTGTTTCTTGCCTTTATTGGGGTCTTTCGATATTATGCATTAGGAGCTGCTGCTTCCCTCAGTCCTTAAGGTCTGGGACAGACATTGCATAAACGGTTTGACCAAAATCAGTTAAGACTGATACTACGTTCAGCCAGGTTTATCTCAAACCGATTTCTGCCATTTTCAAACTGGTTTATGTGCACTGAATGTCTGTTCTGTTACAGGTTTAAACCAGTTTCTGATCACTTAAACCGGTTTATGTATAATGTCTGTCCCTGCCTAAAGAGTATGCTGAATAACCATTATGTCTCTACCTTCTGATACGCAAATCTACTGATGTAGCAGTTGAAAAGGAAATACTTCCTTCTACCTATATGCTTCTGTGAGACTGTTTCCTTTTTCAACTCATGCAAATAACTCTGGACAAAATTCTTCTCCTAGGTATACCAACCATGTATTCCCCACTGAGTCCAGTGTAGCTGCACTAGGTTCACTGAGAAGATACTTTGATCTGCCTTTCTTTTTGTCCCCTAGTAAAAAAAAAAATCCCCCAAACTCAAAAAACTTCCCAATGGGAATAATATATATTATTGTGGCAAAATGGAGTACATAATCTTATATCTAAAAGGCTAATGCTTTAATCTATTTCTGCTGGATACACCAATGTCTCTTTGTGAATATGAACGTATATGCAGTTGCTGTGGCCAGCTGGTACCTACCCTCACCGTCTTTCTTGGAAATGGTTAGAGATGCAAGAATGTGCCCAGGCACTTGGAAAATCACTAATATGGCAGCTTCAGCAGCAGCCAATTTTCCTCCCCTTTGCACCCCTCTCCCTCAGGTTAGGGCCTGGGGCAGTTGTCCCTATTGTCATTTCTGTCCTGTGCCGTCCCCTCTCCCTCTGTCCCCCTGTTTATGCCTTAGAGCAGGGGTTCAAACTTTTTGGGTCAGTGGTCGGTCGAGAAGGTAGGAGTCCCCCGGCAGCCAGATGAGCGGGGAAAGGGGTCCCCCAGCGGCCAATCGATGACCGGGCTGGAGGGTCCCTTGCGGCCAATCGGCGAGCATCCCACCAGCACCCAAGTACCCCCAGGGGTGTGCGCACCCCCTGTTGAAAACTCCTGCCTTAATCATACTCTGATCTCAGCTACACTTGTGTGAACTTAGAGTAAAGCCACTGATTCCCATTAAGTTTAATATTTCTGCATGTATGTTGGTGAGGCTGAGATCACAGAAGCTGTTTTCAAGGTGCCTTTCACAGAATGATCTGTGTGATGTAACTTCAAGTATTTCATCCAGAAACATGCCAGTACTGTGTGTGCAATTTGCTTAAACTATTTCTTATAGCAGCCACCGCTGTAGTATCCCAAGGCTGGCAGCTGCCACCAGCAGACAATTGACCCCTCCTGTATGTAATGAAATTGGGCTCCTTTATGTATTTAATATATTGCTGACTTAACTAAAATGGTGCAAGATCAATTGCTCTTCTGTGGTGTATCTTTAGTACTATAGGTAAGCACTTTTAATAAGTAAGACAAGAATTATTGAATTCTTATATTTCTGCTGTGTGAGTACTTTTGCTGAAATTCAGGAACAGCAGTTTACACATGCAGGATGTGCTGATGCAAATTGGTGCATGTTACAAATCTTTATCTAGACGAAATTATTGTACAGGATAAGAGTATATGTTCATATACTTGAGGTTGCCTTTAAATGGCTCGAATAGCCTACAGATTTATACGTGGGTGGCTGTAGTGTTGATCAGATGAGAATATTAATTAAGTTTAATTTCTTAAAGTTAGTTTAAACCTCTTCAAAGTCCTCTTCTTTTTTGTGTAATTTTTGTTTTAGCACAACTCAGGTCAGATGAAGCTTTAAGTCAGAAACATAATAGCTAAAAATGGCCAGTGAGAAACCAAAAGACTTTTGCTCAGCTATTTGAGATGATCTTGGAATCTCCTTTTTTTACAACCATTGAGAGGGATCAGAATGTTAACAGTCATGTGTGAGAATGCTTTATACCATATACAAAAAATGGATATTTATTGGTTAGTCTCTGCACATATCTTCTAGGATAACCTACATGAAGTTCAGTATAGCTATTCTATACAGGTTGTTCCAATTCATTACGTAGGATGCTTTGTATTAATTGTCCTTTCATTTTTATTCTGTAAAGATATTTATTAGATATGTTGCCCTAACATCTTAATCTTCCCTAGTAGTTACATTCAGGTTATGTAACACCATGCAAGGCTGCTTTTATTTGCTGTTTTAAAGGG